AAAAGATCGCAAGCGATAGATACTATGGATTTAATAAGGAGTTACCCATACAGGTTTGAGTACCAATTCAGAGAGAATTTGAAGACCTGACACTCTAATCTCTAACCCACCACCCATCACATTCAGGAACTTATCAACGCATTGAGTTCGGAAAGTGAATCATGGACATTGGATGAAATCGATGAGAAGAAGATTGAACAGCTACTCGCGGATATAAAGACACCGACCTCTATACCAGAAGTTAGGAGTAGAAAGGAAGCTAGCGTTGAGGTGGTACCAACTTGGCTGCAAAGCAACATATCTGAAGAAGGCATTAAAAGCGATACAAACGCGGAGGAGGATATTTTGAAAATGATCAAAGATGAGATAGAGTTTGAAAGGGCACACGGAATCAGCATGAATGACTTTGATGAGGAGAGATCGCAAACGCGCGACCGGGAGAGACCCCCTACCCCGAAAAAGACCGAACTTGATGAGGATCTTCTCAAGCGATTTGAAGCTCTGGGGGGGTTGGAACTCCCGCCTGCCCCTAGAATGGATCCGAGAACGAAGCAAAGGTTCGATGTAGACCCAGTCCTGGTGGAATCTGATACATGGTGCTGTAAGTCTTTTCGCTATTCCATATTACAACAGTAATAGGCTTTAAAGGATTCTCACCATATATTTTCTAAATTTGCAGGTATATGTAATGAAGACGGAGAGTATCGGTGCTCAGGCTGCGAAAATGATATATATTGTGCGAGTTGCCTATATGAAGGTACCGCACACGTGGACACCTTGGTGGTCTCCCTACAAATTTATTTTACTCACATGACATGTTTGTAGCACACACAGGGCCGAACGCTGGCTACGAGGAAAGAAAGCACAAATGGACCAAATACACAAAGCCAAAAAAACTCGCACCTTGCTAGCTCTACCCTCACCTAACCGTGGCACCCATTGTAATCCTTCCATCACCTGTCAATCTCCATCTTTTTTCCATTCTAATTTTTAGCCATTGACCAATATGTCGATCATATCACCTCACACGAGATACGTGAACCCCAACCCTAATAAATATACTGGAAGTAAACAAAAAATTCTCTTAATCATATCTATGCGCACACCATCACAACGAAGGTTCGTTGATTATTTTTGCATGTATTCTGTGTGTAATCAGTCATAACTATCATACCAAGTACATCTAGATTGATTTATTAAGCGGGGATTGAAGATTTGGTTGACTGCAATTTGTGTAACAGCCAAAATAATAATGTGTCTCTATAAAAATAAGGAAATTATGAAAAAGGGAGATGCAAATTGATCTTGTTTTGCCGCACAAGTTCGAACAATATGTCAAGTTCCGACTTATGTAGTTATAGACTGGTTCTGGTAGTACCAACCTAGCTATCTTTTTCTAGAAAACCGATTCTTTGTACATGTGGAAGTACATAACTACATTTACCTCGTATAGCTTCTTAGATGCACACTTATGGACCCTTTACCAGGTGCTGAGACATGCATCTTAATATAAGCTTGTCTTATCTCAAACAGCAACAGCAGCACATACGTGCAGGAGGGTACATATTTCTCACCCATACACGTACATACATGTGTCTCGAGACGTTCTATTGATCTGTTTCTAAGTTGCACGGGTCCTAACATATTGAAAGCTCCAACCAAGCCAAATATAATGCGATCATGGATATAAGCAAAATTTGAGCTACATAATTAATTACAGATAGTACTGGCGGTTTGGATGGATCTAGAGGAAAATGGGGTGATTGATTCATTTCAAGGGATCGGGGGACGGCTTGCAAGTATAATTTCTATTATTACGATCGGTCCACGGGGGCGAACGCTAGCGTCCTCGTGTCTTTGCCCCGAGGACATCGCCTCGGGGGTATATATACACGGCCAGTATTCTATGAGGTGGATTTAATACCACCAAGACCAGTATACTGTCACGAGCACTGTGGTTGGACAAGATTTCATTTTGACACTTTTTTGTGAGAACAGGGTGCTCCTGACGCTGACGAAATGCTGGACAAGACAAAAAAATGACTGACAAATACATTTTAAAATGGGACAAACTCTGCTGTGAGTTTTTTCTTTAACCACCGGATTGATCGCTTGCCTAATGAAGGTACAGAGGGCGTACGAGACGGAACGCAGGAGAAAATCCCTAGCCATGCACCCATGAGTGTCAAATATAATGGATTTCCCTAATCCTAACTACTGACAAAGGAGTTGGGGGACACAAAAAATATGGGACAGACCCCCGCTAACACTGACGAAAGACCTGAAAGTCTAAGACAATCTGAGGTCGCTGACAACTGACGTCCCAACCACAGTGCTCATGACAGTATATGCCCTATACATGGCCAGAGACTTTGTGTTTTTGCTAATCATAATATTAATGTTTAGAAATTGTCATATGGACAATATGGATTAGGCCCTTGGAAGAGAACAAGATCATGCTATGTACTAAGCTAAGATCAAATCTACTGGGAATTCTCTATCAACAGCGTGCTTCCATAACTTAATCAATCCCCAGTTTGTAATATTCATAAACTCAATATACAGGTCAGCCTCAAGAAATAACGGCAATAAAACAAAATGCAAACGCTAGGGGATTTGAACTAGAGTCAATCTCACTCAATATCCTATTATGCAATTAATGAATTAAACAAAATCAATATCCTATTTATTTACTACGTCATCACTTCCAGAGATCAATGATTAGTATTGCAAGATATTCCGGATCTTCTACCAAGTCAACGCAGCACGTGACCCACAAAATTGTCGGCATTGCTAGTATCAAGTCGCAATTCGAGCTTACTTATAGGCCGCCTGGAATTTCGGTCACGTGTAGGTGAAATAATGAGAACAGAACAGTTAATTGTCTTGGCGCCCGGACCGAGTGATCAATTCGGCTTGACTCCGAGCTCTCGAGACTTTCCCCAAGCTACATTACCAAAAAAGCGGGTGGATCCAGTACCATATCTGGCAAAAACCGTAGGGTTACGGTATTGTTGTGGTATTACTACGGTATATAATATTTAGTACTCCGATTTAACTCGGAAGTTTACATAATTCCAAGTACTATAAGCAATTGGGATCGCCTAAAGATCGCGATGCTTGATTTGATTGTCTTTGCTTGTAATTTTATACAAGTCCTATCAGAATTCAGACAATATAGAAATTAATTCCGGATTCTTATATAATATAAGTACTTTTTATATATATCAACTATAAGCTATAAAAGAATACATTGAAAAAGTTTTGCTAAAACCTAACCCTACACCTAGCGCCCTCACTACTAATTAGATTCAATGGATACAGCAGGTATCAATCTCATGGGTAACATACAAAAAGGATAGGTGAGGTAGCCTCGGAGCTGATGGGAACGTCTGCTTCCATAAGGGCCCGGGCATCTGTACTCATGTTGTAGGAAATCAATCACATGCACAGGTACTAGAAGGGATCTGAATTCTGCTCCTCGTATATATATGCATACGTACCTATGGACCGGGTCCTGGCATATGGTCCGACAGCGATCTCCCAGAGCTATTGTGAGATATTCTTCATTCACTGGCAATTAGAATTACAAAGATCGGCTCTGTGTGGTGTCTGCCTTGTACGAATTGTGAGGTCTATAAATCACTTAGAGCTAGCGGAGCTACCACATATTGGAACATCTAGGTACGGTATATACATGTAGTACCGATATTTCTGGGATATACGCCCATGGGCTTAAAGCAAAGTGGTAGGAAGAAAGTCAAGGAAAACCGGTGGTGTATGCATATTCCCGTGACTTAGGCCAATCAGCAAGCATTTTTCGACCAGTACTTTGCTTTAAGCCCACGGGCGTATATCCCAGAAATATCGGTACTCAAATATTGTATCCGGTTTTGAAGTTACCCGGGCGGGGTCTTCAAGCTAGCCTAGATCGTGTATGGAAATTATGAATTATAATTAGAATGTGCTAATCTCATTGTCGAACCAAAACCCAAGACCGGACCCCATATGACCTGGGAAATACCGGTATGTCAAATCTTATTCCTGGGATTCGTAGTCTTGACATGCAGTGGCTTCTTCGGCGTTTACTTCCTCTTGCGGCAACAAGCATCAACAGTGGCAATTCTTTGCATGCAGCGGTACGGAATTAAACAGGATGAACCAGCACCTCGGTACCTAAGAGATCTGGTACTACTCGACAGGGCTGATAAAACTCGATCGGATGTAGCCTTATGGAAAATGATGAACGGCCCCCAACTGTTTTCGAGTGGGGGCGCCGAATGCTTCACGGACATGGTCGATTAATTGGGCCCCTCATTCAAGGGGAGTACTATGATTACTACATGCTATTTTCCATTGAACCTAATATAAATATCACAATGTTATCATTCGACCCTCCAGATAACTATACCCTATTATAAATAGCCACTCATTTTAAGTAAAAAAAAAAAAAAAAAAAAAAAAAAAATAAGACATAAAAAGATCTTTCATTAATGCCGATCCCCAACAATCCACAAAAGTTTGAGAAATAAAAAAAGAAAGAAAGCCGGGAGGATCAAGGGAAAAATATTCTTATAACGATCAGACAAACTAGCCCCCTTAAGAGAAAAAAGCGAAAAGGATTACCCCATATAGTAAGATCTGGCGCTCGAGCAAGCAAAGAGAAGGAAAAATCATTCCAGTAACTGAAAATGGAGAATAACAAACCAAAAAATCAAGGTCCACATAAAAAAAACACCTTCCAAAAATACATGTTTATACACACAGCCAGCACGCCAAACGCAATGGAAATCGAGCAAAAGGAAATAAGAAATGGAAATATCAGTGTTGCGGTCACCGCATATTGGGATTCAAAGGTAAAGAGGGATTTAGGAGACAACTTATGAGATTTGTTTCAAGTTCCTCGATAATGTGTAAGGATACCTGTGAAGCATTTGGCATACTACCACATCTTGGTTTGGTGAAGATCTCGAAGTCGTCGATGCTCGTTATTTCGGGGGTTAACGACTTCTTCGGCCGGCCTCTGACCGCAGGGCTGTCGATGGTGGTACAGTCTCAGGTCGGTCTTGCGACGGTCCTGGAGTGTTCCATACAGTTTCCCCGCCAAACGGGAACGGTCGTTTGTTTGAATCGCTGAAAACGGCGGCCGCAGCTACAGAATCTTGCCACATACCAGGGGACACGAATGAGTGCGAAACCCCTACAGTTGTAGGCACATAGGAGCTTGATGAAGGTGGACGCCCACCGCCAAGCGGATCAACCAACCCACTTTCATGATGATGTCCGGCTATACCAGAAGGTATAGCTGACACGGAACCATTTATCCCAAACGCAGTATTCCAATTACTAAGAAACCATCAGTATCCTACAACAGTCATCTTTTTTAGGGGAACGAACTCGAATAGTCTAGAAGGATTCCACCCCATGTTGTCTACGATCGCGGGGGGGTTCTGAGTTCCTTGACCTGCTGCTAACATCACTAATGACTGGACAGCTGCCGGGGATTCCCCTTTTGACTCGCCGTCGCCTGTGGAATGTGGTGGAGACAAAGGATGCGAATAATTCGCTGGGCCACCGGCTGTAAGGGTCGAGTGTGGGCTTTCCCCTTGAGTGTAAGCTCGAGTGATACTTGGATCAACTGCTGCTGAAACGCCTGGGTAAAAAGGAAAATTTGGATTCAAAACAAAAGGTCGACTTAGGTCGAGTGAAAAAGCTTGACGCAAAGTCTCAATTTGACCTTTAACCTCAGATGAGGCCGAGCTATCAATGCAGTTTTCTAAGATCCTCATTGTTCTCGTGAAATAATCTTTCGCATCTGAGTTGAATTCTGGGTCCGGGCACGTGGCCGCGATCTGTTAAGGAAGGTCAGCCAAGACATTGGAAGAGCCTATAATGGAATTTCAATTCACCAGATGTATCATAGCACAAGTGAGCAAAGCATATATGGTGAAATTGACACCCCGGAGCATGCATTGTAACCCCAGCATCCCATACTGCTCAAAGACTGTTTCTTCCAATCTAAGCATAGATTTCGCTGCGTTCGTACATATCATCATGTGTGTCTTCCACTCTCCACCCAAAGAGAAAGTCTTTCCGAAGGCCAGCGCGGGACGATGGAGCATTATCCGAGCTAAATGATAATAAATCTGAAGATTTCCTGTGAAGTGGGAGTCGATCTGAGGACCAGGGTGACTAAGATCAGTGACTACCACCACATGAAGATTCGGTGGGAGCTCATAAGCCCAGGTATCCAGGCTTGGTCCGGAATCTAAGAATTGAGGGTCATTCCTCCAGTTTGGTGTAGCCTTAAGCTTTGCATGCACATCATTCATCCGACGAATATTCTTGATAAGCCACACAAAGTATATAAAGTTGCGATATATAGTTACTTCATTCTCATCCAAATCTGGTGAGCCAAGTGGTGTGGTGAGATCAATGCTTTCAGGACTGATCTGCATAATGTCACGGCCTGTCGAGTTGTGAGAAAATGACGGTCCGAATCAAAAATCAAGGGCATACCTTGCGGAGCGCAAATCATAAGTTCGAAAACGAAGCATGCTTGCCAGACACGAGTTCGCGTCATGCAATCGAGGGGGCTCTCTCCGCATCCTACTCCATGCTTATGCAAATCACTGTGTCTATCAAGGCCGAGATCACGAGCCATCGCTATTATACTGACTACGCTCATCCAGGAGCGGAAGAAATAACCTCTTTGCGGCGCAGATTCTCTTGCTTTGAGCAGAAGCAACAAAGCTTGAACCGTACTAAGCCGCGGTACATCGAAAAAACAGTCAACATGTCCTGGACACAGAAGGGTGAGCAATTCGCCTCCCATCTAATTACAAGGATTAGAAACCAACTTGTTGCCATGCTTATCCACTTGAGTCCCTTTGCTGGATCTGTTGTCAATCTGCCAGCACATGCAAAGATTGTTTCAAGAAGTAAAGGTGATATTGAGTCACGCGATGCACTCCATTGTCGATAAAATGCTGCCTTATTGACGATCGGTATGTACGGGTGTATGTGGTTAAAGAATATGCCAAACATTTCCATAGCCTCATCGTCAGTAGGCATGTCTTCAGGCCTTATCTTGACTGCAAATTCATGCTGTCCAGGCATAAACGACGGATTCGGCTCAATTTCCTCCGTCCATGGTTCATATGCAGGTGTCTCCGCAAGTCTTCTTCCTTGGGCCGATATGTAGTTTGCTGATCCGGATTTAGTGTTACACGATCACTCTTTTAAACCAGAAAGACGTAACATACCCACACCGCTATCGTCAATTTTGAGCTGCCCCAATACTCCACTGACATGGGCAGCAGATGCATAGTCGCTCTCGGCCGCCCATTGGTCTTGCTGCCTCATCACGGGCTGTGTCTGGTAAACAGGAGCTTGAAAATGAAGTGGTTCTACAACCTCCCCACCTGTGATTCCCGGATACGCGAGCGTATTCGATGGTCTATGCGATGGTCCATGGTGTTCAGAGGGTGAAAGTGTTCGAAAGGCGGTGTTTCCGTCTCTACTGTGATATCCGGGGACAGTTGTCCTGCTTGTCTTCCTTACGATATGCCCCGAGGCATGTTGCATAAGGTCTTCTTCGCCGCTCGCACTTGAATTCTCAAAATCCCCGTTGGTTTCTTGTTCCATAACAACCTGACTGGGTGCGAAATCGCGATCATACTGTACCATGGGCGGAACGCAGTGAAGTTTCAAGCGTACACAAGCTGAGCAAGGCCATGTATTCGTTGTAGCAGCATCGCATTTAATTTTTCGGCGTCGACATCCTTCGCATGCTCGCATAACTAAACTCTTGGGTTAGTTTTACGAGTCAAATATCTTAATATCAATTGAACGCTAACCCTTGAGCCTTTTGTGTCGGTTGTGTTCATCAACAAAAACATAGTCTTTGGTAATAGTGATAGTTAGCTAATGACCAAAGACACCGACCCTTCTCTCTTTTCAAGAAATTTTTAAATTATATTATTTTTATGTTTGAAGGGGTGAACGGAAAATTATCCAGGGGGAACATACTCCTGTGGTTCTCCCTTTGACCGCCGAGGTCCGTCGGGGAGAGATTTATGCTTTGCTGCATGCTCATTGCTTGTTGAGGTAATAGTCGCCGGGGAACAGAATCGACAGCCACTTGAGGCAACATAGACCGCGAGTATGGAGGATGAGCGTGAGTGAGATGAGTAGGATTGGGGCGACGCAGTGAGGTTCACTCAGTAGAAGGGGAAAGTTCGCGATGCGTTTGAAGCCGATGACTGGCGGGGGGGAGGGGGGGGTGGTGGGAGAGCGGGATTGTAGAGGGCAGGATGCGCAATTGTGCGACAGAGACAGACAGATGTCTAAATGTCCAAATTCTAAGAACGGACAGCTTCAGCAGCGCGGGAACGGAACAAGGAGTACCCTCAGCGGTTGTTTTGCTGTTGCGTTATAAGTTATAAGTACCTCCGTACCACGGACCACACAAGCCAAAATCTCAGGATTCCCCACCTCAACAAGAGTGCTTGTGGTACCCGTGATCTAATATGTGCTATGTGCAGTGAAAGTTCCTGCGCGTAGATCAGGTGGACCACTAGAGACGAGGCCAAATGCGGATAGTCTGATGGATGGATGAATGGTTAAGTTGCTTGCTTGAACTCTCTCCAAATGGGAACGTCGGGCTTGTCAGGGTCTCGGGGGGAAGGAATTGCAATTGTAGGAGGGGGAATTGTTTTGTTATTGGGGTTTTGCCTGGTTATGGGTTTCTTTTCTTTTTTACTTTTTTCTTCGTTCTGTTTTTTTTCCTTTTCTTTCTTTTCTTTCCTTTCCCGTTTCTCTGTCCCTTTAATTATAGATTTCTGAATTGATTTTTCTTCTCCCGAAAAACAAAGGAAGAAGAAAACCGCAAAAAGTACTTAAGAATTGGGTCGAATAGACGCTTTGGGCAGGAGGGAGAGCAACACGAGCACCACCACTACTACCACCGCCGTCGTGAGCTGGTGTTTGATAATGGCAGATCGAATGGCGGGCCCGCCGGAGATGGCAAGAAGAGGATATCAGTTGAACGAATTTGCACGTTTACCAGGTTTGTGCGTATTTCTGTTTCTGCTTGCCGCCGTTGTGCTGCCTCTCCTTGCCCTTCTTCTCCTTCTCCTTCTCCCTCTTCTATGCTGGGAAAGGGGAAGGGTAACGGGGAAAGGGGACGGATAGAGTGTATATCCGTGGGGGAAAGGCCTTCATGGCCAACCCAGTCCTATGAGATCTTGCAGGGAATCAATCTCTCTTTTTCCACTGGCAACCCCCCGTCACTTTTCAACCATGCAGTTATGTACATCTGTACTCACATTAAAATGTACATACCTGATTAAGCCGTAACACTGGGCGCTGGCTTCATCCTTCTCTCCTGTCTTTTCCGGGTTCCCATTTTATAATCACCATCCCCCCTCCCTCACCCCCAATTGTTTCTCACAATGCATACATGCCCGTCAATCGCGAAAGGGAGGTACGCCCGCGGGCGATATTCTTCGAGAGGAAGGCTAGTGGGAAAGGCCGTGGGATATTTAAGACAACATTGAAGTTGTCCAGGGCCTGGACATGTATGTACATAAAAGATAATTATTTCCCCATTTGTCCAACCAAAGTCCCAAGTTGAATCAAGAACACCAACGAGACAGTACATAAGAACACTAGATATCAATGGAGGTACAACTCCAGAGGAGACGGTGAATCAATGACCAAACATTTGGGCAAGTGAGTGAAGCGGCGATCTCTCAGTCCGGGATTTGTCTAAGTATGTAGATACACATACAAGACTGTTCTAGGAAGAGCGCTTTGTCATTGGAGGGTGTGTGTGTGTGTGCGTGTGTGTGTGTGTGTGTGTGTGTAAACTTCAAAAGCCCCAAGTAGATAGCTGCATAACACGTTGTTTCATAATTCAAGTCCTTATTATAGCTAGAGCGTTAAGAGTACAGTCGCAACTCGATATGCCGGATTGCCAAGATTCGAAGGATTTCATACGGGATAGCAAAAAATCCGGGATAGCAAATTGATTTTGCAGTAAAAAAAAAAACCAAAACCCCAGAGGATTCGTACGGATAGCAAGGGATCCGCGTATTGAGATCCGGCATATCGAGTTGCGACTATAGTGTTGTGTTATATCCACTAGTAGCGAACTTAGTACCTATCATAATTCCACCCCCTCGAAACTCCATGTTCGGAGGGAACAAAACCTGTGGTTCGCTAACAAATACCTCTCTCCAAGTTCCATCCCCCCGATAATTCTAGTAGAGCTCGGCCATCGTGGGTGTGGAATTATGATAGGTTTTGCTGTAGATGTACTAACATGTATCTATTCTATCCTCTATCGTACTTTACCTGGCGATTGCATGGCAGTAATTATGAATGTTTACCTGTGCTTACAGGTATATTGAGGTACTTATATAGTGAGAAGAGGCTCTGTTGGATTCTCGTCATGCTCGTCATCAAACATTACTCGACGTAAATGGGGCTCTAAACGAGGAAAACCACGGAGATTTCCACTTGCCGTGTGATGCAAATCTACTTACGAATGTGTACTAAAGGCGTAGTATGTGTATGTAGTAGGAGTAGAGTAGGTACTTTGTAGGTACATACATGTATAGGTACTCTGCTCTCACCTACAACACTACGGGCCACCACCTGCCTCTCCAGAAAACCCTTGTGAATGATCAACGCCCTGTCAATTTTCGTAAGCCTTATGGGTCCGGACCATGGATGAAGGAAACGCATCAGATATGGTAACAGCTAAATTAGCGAATCTGAAGCCAGACCCGAACATGGCGAGAGGGACTTGGGTGCTACTTAGCCCGAAGTCGACCAGAAGGACTGGGATAAATACATGCTCAGTAGCCGTGCACGGACTTACTGAGAAGCGGTACTGGGAGTGGCAGTTGCATAATCGTCTGTGCTTACTTCCCACACTTACCGCAAGCTTTAACTACATGCTGATGGTTGTGGTTGTACCGGGTGGGCTGCGCGTTTGTGCACGGGGTGCGATCGAGGGGAAACAAATTAACTCTCCTAGCCTACTGACCCCTAACATTACAGTATCAATTAGTAGAGCACCTACTTCAATTCTACCCTGTATATAGATACTTCACTTATCGTACTGTACTGTACTCTACCATACATACTCTACATGTATCTATATATCGTATCGGTGATATTGTACGGGACACTATCCCAATCGCAATGAACGCCAGGAGTCAAGGGATGTCCATATCCTCAGCTAACACTTCAACGTTCACAATGCATACCAGGATGGCTGTCATCATGATCACCATCTTCTTTTCTTAATATTATTCCTCCTTTCTTGCATGCTTTCTTCGCGTGCACTTTTCTAAATTAGAAACCGGGAACATATAGAAGAAGTAAATTATACAGGGTCTGCCTGCCTGCCTGCCTTTATGTTTGCCTACGTACTAGGAAGCCTGAGCGATTTTTGTGGCCACATGAAAATGAGAGCGAGAGGGAAAGAAATAGAGATCGGAGTCAAGGGATCACGCCAACACTTTTATCCCGGCACACTGAAGCATCTCAAGCTGGTTCTAAACACATAATATTATAGTTGGTGGGTAGGCAGAATTAAACTACCCAGGGAGGTGACTTCTCAACCTCACACCCTAACCCACTCACCGAAAGCCCGGCGAAGGGTCCACCAGGCGCTAGCAAAAGTACCGCTAACACCAGCCAGACGAAAGTGTGGGGATCTCGACAACGGATACACTGGAGTTTCTCCGGCATGTATGCGCTTGAACTCTACGAGCTTCCGTTTGAGCTGTCAGACATCCCCTCAACTGATTTGAGCTGGTGCCGTCATATTAGGGGCTTGTATGCGACGTGTCCCCATCACCTATTCATGTATAATGATGAGGGTAACACATGCACCTCGTTATTAAAATTCTTATTATTACATACAGTAGTTTTATACGGTGTCGGACAGCCAAAACCAGCCGGCCAGAGCAACCACCGACTCCCCTTCACCCCATCGACTTTCAACAACGCAACACTTGTCCAGAAATAATGTTCTTTTGGTAAAATGGGTCTAATCATAGTTGTAAACATCCCCATAAAAGGGGATTTAAAATAATTAAGAACTGGCTGCACTATGACCCCTCAAACATTTGGTGCAATCTGCCCGAAAAAAACATAGGTGTGAAATAATAACTTTAATAGCTTTATGCCAAGGCGCCACATTAATTTGGGATAATTCTTACCATATTGGATAATTAGATGATCATTATTACCCGATTAGGACTAGTTTCTGGCTTGAAAAGAACATGAGGGTTGATTTTGACTGTCCCGGCGCTGTACCTATTTATTCCATGTGAATTCATGACTCTGGATATATGCGGGTGTGCTAATACACGTATATACTTACATACATCCTGGAGTGTCGATACTCATGTACAGCAGTGTGTAATAAGTCATCAGACGACCTAGCCACAATTTTGCCTGCAAACGCGTATTTTGGTGGCGTTCCGTCTGATGACTTATTACCCACCTGTACGTACTGCTGTTATTTACAAAGTGATAATATAATGGTCGCGAATTGCGGGTTTCGTTCACCCCGATAAATCCCAGACTCTAGGGCTACCAGTACAGCAGCCGCTATAGTTTCAAATTGCACGTTGCAGCCCTAGCTTGGGGCACATTTTTATCCCTCTAAAGCTCTTACGAAGATCACGGCGGATATTCCATAGCGGCTGGTACTCGTACGCGTAGTCGAGTTAGATAAGCTTTTGCATACATGCAGACATTCTTGATCTGATCTCGAATCTCGAGCTCCCTTTCAACGATATTCACCTCAAAATAGAAAACACGATCAACAGAAAAACCACCTAGCTCCACTAGTCTTATTCCATGATCCACCAGTGACTATTTGCACATGTCAACAGCTTATACTCTGCGAACCCTTATAAATACCTCTTGTAATATCTATGTACAGCCGCATTCGAAAGTACTGGCATCCTACTATATATATTGAGTCGTTCACGAATTGTAGCCACCAACAACCATGGCACTCGCGCATACTCAACTTATTGATAGGTATGACCGCAATAGAGACATTGCAGC